GATGTCGCAGCGGTGGCTGCTCATCGGTCGCTGGTGCCACCTCCCCGGGTTCGGGCCCGGCAGCGTAGCGCCTCGGTGCACCCGACGGGGAAGGGAACGCCTTCGGAGTGGCCTCCCGGGGGCGATTCCTCACTGTCCCGTCTCCTGCCAAACGCAGCAGGGAAAGCAAAAGCCGCAAGAGTGTTCCTGGATGGGCATCACACCCAGGCCCCTTGCGTGCCCCTTTTTACTCTTTTCTTTAGAAATTTGTCCACTCTTCTTCAGGGCATACGTTCGAGATCGAAGACACTGTAATTTCTGTGGGTAGTCCATTAGTGTAAAAACGTGAGGTTAAGGTTGGCCAGCCCCGGCCAGTGGTAAGCCCTGTGCACAGGAAGCACATCCCACAGGCCAAGGGCGGTTTGAATCCCAGCCCCGGAGGCTCAGAAAGCACATGTGAATGTGTGCCCCAAATCCTGGCGTGATGGAAAGTGGAAGAGACCGAGCCATTGAGGATGCACTGACAAGTGCACATGCCCACTGGCAATAAAAATTATTTTAAAAAAGAACGTTAAGGTTTATTTCCTGTAATTAATTGTCTGGTTGGGCTCAGATTTTATTGTTTTCCTGTGTCACCTTTGACGACTTCGCTTTATTTGTTGGGCTTGGTAAGGAAAAGACAGGGCTCCTTCCAAACCAGGACTAGCCGGTGCAGCACGGATGAGCCCCCTTTGAACCTAGCCCACCCTCCCCCCCACCACACCCGTTAAAGAGAGGGTAGGGTCCTCAAGGGGGTTGTTGCAGTTTCACTAATAGCATTGGCCTAAAGGCTCATCCGTCCCAGAGAGGACCAATCAGTTTTCATCAAAGGGTTGGAAGAGACACAGATGCTTGTAAACACTGGTGCTCCTGACAAGTAGTTGGAAAACAAATTTACCAGGGAAAAAGTCTTGTTACCGTTCAGATTTCCCCCCTTTTGGAAGTATACAAAAGACCAATTCAGGGAATCTAAGCCATAGTAAATCTTAGAGAGCAAGAGCATATTTAGATCTGGTGAAAATGCAGACTCGTCTGTCCCTGAAAGCCTCCTCAGGGCTGTCCCGTAAGCCAGCCTTGCCCTCGGAGCTAAGGTGGGTGTAGAGGAGGGAGCCCAAGCAGTGGGTCTGCATGTCACTCTCCTCTCTGCCGGACCCCAGTCTGTCATCCTGCCAGTGCACAATGCAGAGCCGTGGCTGGACCAGTGTCTGCAGTCCGTCCTGCAACAGGACTTTGAAGGCACCATGGAGCTCTCTGTCTTTAACGATGCCAGTAAGGTACTGACGAGCCTCCTTCGCGGGTTTAGCTCTAGCGGAAGTCATGTTTGACCGTTCTGTGTCCTGACCTACCCACATCGCCTTTCAGGACAGGTCTGGGGCTATCATTGAAAAATGGAAGGCAAAGCTAGAAGGTTCTGGTATCCTTGTGGTTGTTGGAGGGCACAATTCTCCTTCTCCTCGAGGAGGTAAGTAAACACATTTAGTTTATTAAACTATAATTCATGACTTCTTGTTTGAAAACATGCCAGAGGATATGCTTGCGTGCACGAGAGAGAAGGAGCACACGTGTGCACTCCTCCCTCCCGCCATCCTGCCCTGGGGGCCTGGTCATGTCATGACCCTTTCCCTCCAGTTCTCCACCCGATCAGGATCCTGGCACATACACACTTGCCCAGCGTGTTTTTTAAGCCACCAGGGCCAGGACTTGAACCCCGGTTGGCCATGTGGAAACCAGCTGCCTGAACCACCAGACCATGGGGTAATCCAGCTTTTTTTTTTTCATTCTTTTGAGATGGTTAATATCACGTTGTTTGATTTCCTATGCTGAACCACTCTTACTGCTGGGATTAAATCACACTTGGTCATGTATGTAATCTCTCTATTTTTTTTGAGGGGTTTGCGTATGTATTCATAGCAGAGGTTGATAAATGACTTGCAATGTCTTTGTGTGAGTTTCATATCGAGGTACTTTGGGCCTCATAGAATTAGTTAGGAAGTGTTTCCTCCTCTTCTGTTTTTTTGGAAGACTTTGGGAAGGATTGGTGTTAACTCTCTCTGGTAGAATTTACCAGCGAGGGGCCAGCAGGTGGAAGGTGGTTGGGGTGCTGGACCCCCACATGGCTGACCATGGTTTGACTTCCAGAGCTGGTGGCTTGCTTTCTCACTTTCCCTTTCTTTCTCCCTCTGTCTCGTCAAATTAAATAATGATAATAATAATAAAAAAAATTTAAAACATTCACCAGTGAAGCTCTGATTTTGGGCTTTTCTATTTCTTTCTGTCAGTTCTGGTACTTGGCATTTTATAAGGAGTTTGCCTTCCATCTAGGGTATCTGGCCGGCTTATCGTTGTTCATAACGTTGGGTCGTTGGAAGAGTCATGATGCATTTTTGCATAGAAAAACAGAAATACATCGTGACTTTTCTGACAACCCGTTACTCTCTTATAACTCTTTTAGTTTCTGTTAGAGCACCCACTTTCATTTCTGGCTTTCAGTAATTTTGAGTCTTTCATTCTCAATCTGCTGGGTTTATCTCTTTGTTCTCTTCAAAGAGCAAACTTTTCGTTGACGCTCTGTAATTTTTTGTTCTCTATCTATCGCCACTCTGGCCTTTATTATTTCCATGCTTTTGTTAGCTGTGTGCTTCATATGGTCTTCCTTTTCTAGCTTCTTAAGATAGAAAATTAGGCTAGTGGCTTAGAACCCCGACTTACCGCTTTTTTAATTGCCAGAGGATATGCACACTCATGAGAGAGAAAGCGAGAGCGCGCCCTTCCCCTAGGGCACGTTCCCACGGCCATCCCTTCTCCCCTGTTGCTCCATCCTGTCGGGATTTGGGCACACGTACCTAGTGTGTTTTTCAGGCTGCTAGGGTCCAAATTCAAATTGCATTGGTCGTTGGTATCTGACTCCCTTCCTTATCCCCTGACCCAAGATCCCAACTTCCATGTAGGCATTCATAGCCAAAATTCCTTTCTGCGTGTTGCTTTTGCTACTTCCTGTTAGTTTTGGTATATAGATTTTGTGGTTTTGTTTTCACTTGTCTGTAAGTATATTCGAAATTCTCTTGGGATTTTTTCCTTGACCCATTCATTGGTTAATTTTCACTTATTTGTGAATTTTCCAGTTATTTCCCTCAGTTATTGATTTCTAGTTTCGTTGTGGTCAGAGAGGATCCTTCTTATGATTTCAACCTTTAAATTTTAGTTTTCAGTATTGAGCACATGCACTCACTGGAGAGAGACAGAGAGGAAGAAAGTGAGAAATCACCCCCCGGGGGAATGGCCATGCCACAATCCCTTCTCGTTCACCTTCTGGGATTCTGGGTGGGATTCTGACATGCTGATCTGGGACTCGATCTGTGTAGTTGGCCATGTGGGACCCAGGTGCCCTAACCCCCCTATTGGCCCTAATTTGTTTTTCTTTTTTTTTTAGTATGGATTTTGATGTCTTCCTGCCTCAGTCTCCCAGCTGGGGCTGCAGCACTGCCCTGCTCTTCCCTTTCTGTCTGTCATTGCTGTAGGCCACGTGGACTGTACTCACGAGAGACAGAAGGAGAGCGTGAGAAGTCACTCTCAGAGGGATGGCCACACTGCAGTCCTTTCTCCTCCAGTCTCCTCTTGGGATTTCGGGCGTGTATGCACACGCACACAGTGTGACTTTCAAGGCCAGGTCTGGGATTCGAACCACACAGCTGGCCATGTAGGATCCAGCGCCTTAACCTCCATGCCATCTGGTAGCCCTGCCCTGCCCTTGTCACAGACGGGGTCTTACTGTGGTGCCCAGGCCAGACGAGAGGTCAAGGTTAGGAGCCTCCTGCCCAGCCTTTCGAGTCACTGGGATGGTGTTGCTTTAGGCTGGACCCGTGGTCCCAGTCTGAGGATCAGGGCTTAGCAGTGTGTAAACACTCCTGCCAGCATCTCAGTAGACAGCCTTGCCGCTCCAGGAAAGCTGCTTAGTGCATCCCTCCCGGCGAGAGATGCCTTTTGCGGCTTCCTGCTAATATTTAATCCATTTTGGTTTTGTGTTTTTGGGCTGAATAGAATGCAAATACTGGTGGAGGTGACTTACAGCACTGTTGGACTTCAAAAATGGAACCAGAACCTTCTGTCTCAAAACATGTTCCTCTGCCCTGCTTACATCACACTCCTACCAAACAATACCCACTATACGCTGCCTAAGAAGGCAGAGAAGAGTGTGAAATACTCAAGAGACATTTTTGAATAAGCAATTGTTAAAAGTTGGTCCTTAAAGAGACAGCACTGGGCTGCCCCGTACCCTACTCTTATTTTTTTTTAAGAATTATTTATTTAATTTTTATTTATTCATTCCATTATTTTAATTTGACCAAAGAGAGAGACACACACAGAGAGAGAGGGAAAGTGAGAAAGCAAGCCATCAGGTCCAGGACTCGAACCATGGTCAGCCATGTGGGAGTGCCCAGCGCCTTAACCACCACACCACCTGCTGGCCCCGTACGCTACTCCTTAAAGGAGCTGGCTCTCACGTGGCCAGCTGCAGTCTGAATCCCATCCCTGGCAGCTTGAGCAACACGCCGGGTGTGTGAGTCCAAGGCTGTGACAGAAGGGAGACATATGGGGTAGGATTTCCACGTGGCCATGCTGTTGGGAGTGCCCGCTCCGTGTCCCTCCGAATCCTTGTCTGTCTCTGGCGAGTGCACACCTTCTCTGGCCTTTAAAAAAGATATGGTGCCAGATGGTTCAATGTGTCGCTCAGACGCATTTCTTCGGACTTGGTTGCATCGGCTGTCTGACACGATCCCCGAGGAAGCTCTGTCCAGTCCTGTGTCCCAGCGAGACCTGATGGGTGGTCACTGGACACCTCCTGAGCAGTCCTGGGATCTCAGGAGGTCCTGGGAGCTCTGGCTCCCCAGAGGAGGAGCGAGTTCTGGCCAGAGCTGCAGGGGAGGACGTGGACAGGCTAACGCGGGCGGGGCCGAGCTCGAGTATGGCGGCATCCTCTTGCCGAGCTCGGGTGTCGAGGCGTCCTCTCGCCGTCATCCTCTCTCACGTGTGTGGAGATGTGGATATTTTCCCCAGTTCACTTCTCAGTGTCTTTGCTGAAACAAAACTCTGCAACTTCTCTCTCTCAGAACTTGTGTTCTAACTTGCTTCTGAAATGTCCGTGAGCTGACTAGTTTTGGTGGACCGGGCAGGAACGTCGTTCCACACTCTACGCCCATGCTGTGTCCCCCATGGCTGAGTGGAGGTGTTCGTCACACTCCTTGTCTGATCTCCATCTAGAAACCAGCCCAGCCTTTCACAGAGGACTGTTTAAAACAGTAGCTGCGATTTGAGCCCTGTCCCAATTTTGGGTATTCTATCCATAACAAAAACAGTTAAGTGTACAGTGGTGAAGGACCCAAGTGAAGTGAGCGAGGCCCTCCTGCAGTCTGCTCGAGCTTTGGGTACTGCTACACAGTACACGGAGCCGGCCGGCTGTGTGATGGGACGTGCTTTCCTGTACTATTTTATTAAACTTGTAGCAACTGTTAGATAACACAGATCCAAAGTGTCTATTTCCAGGGTGCTGGGTTCATGAAATGGATTCACATTAATTTGTGATTTCATATCATAATAGAGCAGAACATTTCTCAGTAATGCGGTCACTTGCTAAAGTAAAAATGAAACGCCGTCCCACCCCCTTTCTCCAAGAGTAAGGAATGTTAATATCTCTGCGAGGCGAGTTTCCCTGCGGTGACCATGGCAACCTGCTCCCCTCACAGAGGGCCTGGCCTCCCCAAACACTGGGCCCTGGCACAAACATTTGACTTTCTTCGAGGCAATAATATTAGAGCGGATTCCTTGTCTTCGCCAGACACAGAGTTCACTGTGAGAAACTTCTCGGCCTCCGCACCGAGCTGCTCTCCCTCCACCGCCCGCATGTGTGGGCTTGATTTCTCTCCCGAAACCCTATTCTGATGAGAACTGTAGACAGAGCTCCTGTGAGGTTTGGTGCGACTGCGGAGAGCCTTTTCTCCTTTTCCGTTGTTCACCACCAGCTCTGGTTGGGGTTCCCCCGCCTCGCTCTGCTGTCTCTGACGGCTGCTAACCCCTCCTTGCCGGGGTGACCACGATATCCCATACACCGCTGTCATCCCTGTGGTGCTATGAACTCTGGGATCACGTTGCTAACAGTGGGGTTGGCGAAGTTGTAGGGGTAGCTGCTAAGAGTTACACGGTCACCTCGCATGGAATCCTGGGAGACGGTAGCACTGTTGTCCCCGAGTTGTGTGCCACTTGGGGGCAGGACAGATCTGGCATAGTGGGGACCCTTCTCTGCCTCTGATGGCAGCGACCCGGGAAGGCCGGGTGAAGTACACATCTGGCTGCAGTCCCCCTGGGAGCGACGGCTTTCTTCAGCTTGCCTTGACTTTGAGTGCCAGAGAGAGTTACTGCTCTAACTGCTCACGTCTGTCTCGCTTTGTGTGGCTGTTCTCCGTGGCGTGAAGTCTGAAACTGTCTGGCTAACACGGTTCAGGCGTTGCTTACCTCTTTTCTAAGAAAAGCAGTGGTGTCGCCCCCCAGGCCCCTGTCAGCACCCTCCTTGTGGGCTGAATGCCCCCTCGAATCTACCCTCCTCCACACCTGGGCTGAGCTCCCGAAGTGTGAGCTTCGCGTGCCGTTTCTTACTCAGAGGCCACTGCTGCTCTTGCTGGCAGGTGGAGCCGAGCCCTCGCAGCTCCGCGGTGGATTCTCACCAACGCTGGCTTGTGCTTGCTTCCCAGACAGTCGTGCCCAGCTCCCTGGCACGCCCCGGGCCCCAGGACAGGTGCGCCGGCTGTCCCCACCCCTGTGTAGCCAGGCTCTGAGAGCTGGGCTCCTCTGAGGCTCCGTGGTGGCCATTCTGTCTTCTTTTAAGCCTCCCAGCACTTCTAGCACATTCCTTTGCGTGGCCACAGGTTACTCTTTTACTCTTGCACTCAGTTTCGTCATCGATGGCATGGATTTTTTGTTCTTCCCTAGAGGAGCATGCACTCGGGAGAGAGGAAGCGCTCCCCCGGGAGATGGCCGTGCTGCAGCCCCTTCTCTCCCTTTCTCCTTCCTGCGTTTGGGCACGCCCAGGCGCCCGATGTGTTCTTGGGGCTCCCAGGTCCAGACTCAAACCCTGCAGTTGGCTGTATGGGATCTGTTTTAGCCACCACACACCCTCTGGCCCGAGGTTTTTGAAACTTTTTTTAACATGCTGTAGGGTGTCTGTGCTCGGGAGACACCCACCGGGAAAGTGAGAGAGCGCCCCCGGGAGGGTGGCCGCGTCCTCTTTCTGGGATCTGGGCGGACAGCAGCCAGCCTGTTCCCTAAGCCACCAGGGCTCCATCTGGGGCCACAGGCAGCGGTGTGGAATCCCATTACCCTGACTTCTAGGCTACAGGGCTGAGCCAAGAAGACAAGGATTTTTATTTTTTACTTTTTTTTTTTTTAATTCAGGTTTTAGCCATAGGGCGTGTGTGTTCATTGGAAAGAGAGAGAGAGGGAAAGTGAGAAATCAGCCCCCAGAGGATGGCCTTGCTGCAATCCCTTCTCCATTCTCCTTCCAGGATTTTGGGGATGCATGCACGTGTGCCCAGTGTGAACTGTAGTCAGCCATGTGGGAGTCCGGTGCCTTAACAGCCATACCGCCTGCTGGCCCTGGCAAGGATATTAAAAAAAAAAAAAATTTTTTTTTAAAGAGATTTTGCTATAGGGCACTTGGGCTTGCTGGAGAGACAGAGAGAGGCAGAGACAGAAAGTGAGAAATCACCCCCCAGAGGGGATGGCCACGCCGCAGTCCCTTCTTCACCATTCATTTTGACCATGCACGCCTGGTACATGAATTCCAGGCTACCAGGTCTGGGACTCAAACTGCCGTCAGCCACGTGGGAGTCCCATTACACCATCTGCCAGTTCCTTTAAAGAACTTTTATTGGGACCAGCAGTTAGCGTAATGGCTACGTCGCTGGACTCCCACGTAGTCGACCGCGGTTCGTGTCTCGGACCCGGTGGCTTAAATCCCATGCCGGGCGCGAGTGCGTGCGTGCCCAAGATCCCGAGAGGAGAATGGAGGAGAAGGGATTACAGCGTGGCCATCCCCCATGGGGGGTTAAAAAAAAAAAAAACTTTTATTAAATGTAGTACCTACAGAAAGCTCCCTTGCAACTGTGCAGCTGGACTAAGTTCATAAGCTGGATATGCCCTGCGACCAGCACTCTGATGAGGAAATGGAATGTTCGCAGCTCCCAGGAGCCTCCTGGGCCCCGGCACTCCCCTCTCCTACAGGCAACCACTGTACTGGGCGCATGCACTTGCCAGAGAGAGACAGACAGAAAGGGAGAGATCACCCCCCAGGGGGCGTGCCCACGCCACAATCCCTTCTCTTCCATTCTTCTCTCAGGATCTTGGGTACGCACGCACATGCACCTGGCCTGAGTTTAAGCCACCGGGTCCGGGACTCGAACCTCAGTCGACATGGGAGTCCAGTGACATAGCCATTATGCCAACTGCTGGTCCCACCACTGTCCTGCGTTCTGAATGGCAGAGAGGCCGGGCTGCTCCGTGCTGCGAGCCGTGCCCACCACACCACTCCCCTGCCCACACGCCGTGCGCACGCCCTGGCTCGTTCACCATCATGGTGGCCTGTTTGTCCAGTGGAGTTCCCAGTCTGGGCTCTCGTGGTGAGCGTAGGCTTGGAGACAGTGCAGACGAGGCCGCTGGTGTGCCTGGCAGTGGCCGCCCTGCACAGAGCTCACCACGGTGTGAGAGGTGCCAGTGCGGCTGTCGCCGCCTCACAGAGGTGTGGCTCAGAGACGGCCCGCCGAGTGTCCAGTGAATTTTTACCAGAGGGCACATGCATAACAGATGCCAGCATTCATCGCATAGTCCTGAGACCTCCTTTCAGCGATGTTTTCATTTGTTTTCTAAAAAGTGTGCCTGGCCCTTCGACTGTCGCTGTGATGCACCCATGTATGCAGGAGCTGGCCTCTGGCGAGCTCGCCCACGGGGGGGTGGCACGGGTGGGCTGCTGGGCGGTGGGTGCATCCCTCTCACCCACAGCGGCCTCTAGCCTGGAGCTTCGCCCTGTTCCCTTCCTCCCTTCCTGGTGCAGGCAGTGCGGTGCCCTGCTCGCCTGGGCACAGCACCCTGAGCTGTGTGGAGCCTGGGCTGCTGACATGGAATGACCACAGAGCCTGTTCTTTCCTCAACAGTTGGATATTCTAAAAATCAAGCGATTGCTCAGAGCTCGGGATCTTACCTTTGCTTTTTGGATTCGGTAAGTAACTGCTCTGCTTCGTGTATGTGTATGTGTATGTGTATGTGCTGGCTGAGTAATTAAATGATCATATGGTTTAATGTGGTTCTTGCAAGTGGTTTTTGTGATCTATTACAATCAGCTTGAAAAGTCAAGGTTGATAGGTGTTGCTCTTTAACTGCCAAAGTAATCGGTGAGTTGGTTTTTTAAGAGGTTTTTGCCATGGGGCATGTGTACTCATCAGAGAGAGAGAGACAGAGACAGTGAGAGGGGAAGCAAGAAATCATCCCCTGGGGAAATGGCCTGCCACAATCCCTTTTCCTCTATTCTCTTGGGATCTTGGGTATGCATGCACACGTACCCAGTGTGATTTTCAAACCACCAGGGCCAGGACTCGAACCGTGGTCGGCTATGTGGGAGTCTAGTGACATACTGCTATGCCATCTGCTGGCCCCTGGTGAATTAATTAATGACATAAGATTGCGTAAAAGAGTAAAAATCAGAAGAAGCCGGGCCTTCAGAAGAAGGTTCCACATGGCTACAGCGAACTAGATTTCTCAGGGAAT